AGTCGGCCAGGAGGCATACACCACCGGAGACAGAAGCATCCTTATACGAGAAGAGGCAATGCGTCGTGTCTCCAACCTCGTCAGCATCCGAATCATCCGATGAAGAATACCACCTACCAGCGGTCGAAGTAAGAAAATACAATACGCCGCCGAAATCACCCTCTCCGAGAAAACCAACCCCTCCTATCTCCCCAGACCGACGTAGCAACGCGGTTGGGTATGAGCAAGGGGGGGAGGAATTGTATGGCTGGGATAGCACTACGTATGCTACCCTAGCACCAACGGATGGACAACCAACAAACCCGTCTGGATTGCCAACGGACGACGGACAACGTCCGTCAACAAGCTACGCACAACTGGCAGCAGCCCCGGCAGTACCAAGGCAGGAGGCCGAAGCCCCGAAACCAGAGGAAGAAACCGGGAAGGGGAGATACCCTCCCATAGTTGCAGAATGCCTCCCAAACTGGACGAAGCATTTTGAGGTGCTCAACAAGAAGTTGGGCCACCCTCCTAACGCTCGTCCATTTGGGAAGGGGGTGCGCTTCTCCCCCCAGAGCCCGGAAGAATTCCGGACCATTCAAAGATACCTCATTGATTTATCCAAAGAAATACCAGCCATGTCCTGGTACTGCTACACCCCGGAAGAAGAGAAGCCCACGAAAGTGGGCATTAGGGGGCTGCCAGTAGACACGGATACGGGAGCCATAGGAGAGGCTATCAAGGCATTGGGCTTTCCAATTCGCTATGTAAAGGCAATCCCGCCGCGCAGAGGAAGACCGGGTTGCCTATACTTCGCGCAACTGGACCATTTAAGCCAAGAAAGGCTCAAGGATCTCTACAACGTTAACGAGCTACTTTTTATGAAAGGAGTCGTGATAGAAGCATGGCAGGGACGAGTGGGACCAGCACAGTGTCACCGCTGCCAGGCTTTCGGACACGCCTCCTACAACTGTTTTCGTCCGATAAAATGCGTCCGTTGCGCGGGGGAACACGCTGCAAACCAATGCCCGAGGGGTAGGGATGAAGCACCTACATGCGCAAATTGCGCCAAAGATCATACGGCCAATGATAGACGATGTCCGGTATTGAGGAGGATCGCACGGAAGCAAGGTATCACACTTCCGGGCTTGCTTCCGGAAGCGCCGAGGCAGATTCCGGAGAGTCGCCAGAAGATCGTCCAAGTCAACGAAGAGGGGTGGACAACCATAAGGGGGAAGGGGGGAAGGCAAACAGCCCCCCCACCACCCCCCCCTCAGCAGCCACAACAACCGATGGAAATCGTAGAGCCACCACAACAAAGAGCAACCACCGGAGCGACTCTCCAGCCCCCCGCAAATGATGCTACTGAGCGTCTGGTACCTAAGAAGAAAAAGCGGGGGAGAAAGAAGAAAAACCAAACACAGCCTCCTCAAGCCGTCACCTCTACCCCCACCCCAGCGATCACGATAGCCTCCCAGGCGCAGGTTACCGCCAAGGACACCAAGATTACCGTAGGTAGAGCACCAGAAAGGGCTCTACCGGAACATAGAGCCCGCTCTACAACTAGAGCACGCTCTACCGTACGAAGAATAACCCAAAACCAGCCGAGACAAGAGCCAACCTCACAAGGAATACCACCAGCCGGCCCTGGCTATACAGATGCCATCCTCAGATTGGTTGGCATAGCCATTGAGGTCGGCGCGCAAGTCCTGGCCGACATAAGAGCCGGGACGGATCCAATTACTGCGATTATGAGAGCGTTGGCGCAACTACTTGCTCGGCATTACAGAGGCGAGTAACCTGCGCCTATTATATTGGAATCCAGACGGGATACAACAGAGGATCCATGAACTCCGCACTGTCGCCCAGCAGCAGGATATACAGGTGATATTGCTGGGAGAGACCAAACTAAATCCGAACACGCATCTCAAGCTGCCAAACTACTTTATATACAGAAGGGACGAGGTCAATCCTCGAGGGACCGCCTACAGAGGCACGGTGGTTCTGGTGAGGAGAGACATCGTCCATCAAGAACTGGACTTACCACCATTTGAAACGATGCGCTCTATCGGCATAAAAATGGAGGCGGCGGGCGAGGAACTAAGGATCTACGCAGCATACCGCCCGCCAGGGACTCCATTCTGCTCCTCAGACATCCGGACGGTAATGGAAGGCGATACACCAACCATCGTCGCGGGGGACTTAAACGCGAAACACCCGGCGTGGGGCTCCAGAGTGATCACTCCGCCGGGTCGTGAACTCTATGATGACGCCGAAAGACACGGCTATGACGTTTTAGGTCCCGAAGAACCTACACACATTCCTACAGACCACCGAAGATGTCCGGATGTATTGGACATTGTGCTCTCTAGGAACGTCAACTACCCGGTAGTGGTAGAGGTGCTGTACGACCTGATGTCTCAGCACCTCCCGATTCTCATTACCATTGGCCTCAGGGCAGTGACTACGCCGCCCGGAGCTATTAAGAGAAAGATCAATTGGAGGCTCTACCAAAAATATCTAACGGAGAGACCTCCAATTTTCACCCCTATTAACACAGCGGACGACGTAGAGGCCGCTGCAACAAGAATAACAAAGACGATCAAAGAGGCTCTACACGCGGCCTCTACGATCGTCCCGACCACAGGAAGACGGGAGGAGCTGCCGCGAGAGATATGCGTGCAGCTCAAACGCAAAAGAGCACTCAGGAAACTCTGGGCGCGTACTCGCTGTCCAAGATTGAAAACTCAATTGAACAACTTATCGGATGAACTGTCGGTTGCAGTCCGGGCCCACCGTGGAGAGGCCTGGGAGCGACGCATATCGCAAGCAGAGGAGGAAGATGCGTCGCTCTACAAACTGAACCGGCAGTTAACTAAGACCAGACCCCCCGTTTGCCCGCTGACCAACAATGCGGGCGAACGTTGTTACGAGGCCAAAGGTAGAGCGGATATCCTAGCAGAGCACTTCGAGGAGCAATTTATGCCGAACCCAGCAAGTGCGGAGTTCATGGAACTACATACCCTGAAGGAGAGCCGCGTACAGGAGTTCCTGTCGAAGCCCGCGCCACCGCTTGCAGGAGAGTGGTTTATATCCCCCGCCCTATTGCGGAGGACAGTAGCCCGCCTGCAACCCAGGAAGGCGCCGGGGCACGACGGGATAACCAACGCAGCACTTCGACAGCTGCCCCATAGAGCACTTGTAGAGTTAGGTCGACTCTACAACGGTATACTGCGGACATCCCACTTCCCGGAGGACTGGAAAATCGGCAAAGTAATCGTTCTGCCAAAACCCGGGAAGGACAGACGTAGAGCAGCCAGTTATAGGCCGATCACGCTGCTACCGCACCTAGCTAAACTGTTCGAAAGATTGCTGCTGAGAAGCTTCCGCCCGTGCGTACATCTTCGGGCGGAACAGCACGGATTCAGGAGGGGCCACTCTACAGCAACACAGCTGACCAGGGTGCTGCACTATTTGGCGGCCGAGTACAACCGCGGCCGCACATCGTTGGGCGTCTTTCTCGACATAGAGAAGGCGTTCGACAGAGTGTGGCACTCTGGATTACTATATAAATTAGATACACAAACAAGTACCCCTCCTGCTATGTTGCGGCTAGTGGCGTCATTCCTTAAAGATAGGAAGTTCTACGTCTGTGTAGAGGACGCCGAGTCCGCAGCGAGACCAATCAGAGCCGGCGTACCACAGGGCAGCTGTCTCTCGCCGATCCTGTACGCGGCTTACACCAATGACATCCCTACCCTGGCAGACCACCTGCGCGAATGGGAAGACGATGTTGAATTAGCGCTATACGCGGACGATAGTGCCTACTTCACATCGTCTAGAAGAGCCCACATAGCCACTGCCAGGATGCAGCGCCTGCTGGACCTGCTACCACCATGGCTTGATGAGTGGAGGATGGCCGTCAATGTTGGCAAGACGACCGCTCTGCTCACTCGCCGTTATAGGAATTTTCCACCACCACTGACGCTCAGGGGCCAGGAGATCGAGTACCAGAAGACGGTAACGTACCTGGGATGCCGGATTGACCGGATGCTGCGCATGACCGCGCACGTCGATGTCGCCGTCCGTAACGCCAGATGTGCGCGGGCGGCGCTGCGTCCGGTCCTAACTTCAAAATTGCCAATTAAAACCAAACTTAAAATTTACAAAACATATATTAGATCAAGATTTACTCACGCTGCGCCGGCCTGGTACGCGCTCCTGAGCGATCATCAGAAGCGGCGACTACAGGTCCAGCAGAACCTGACACTAAGGACCATCGTCGGTGCAGGTCGCTACGTCCGGAATGACGTCATCGCGGCCAACCTAAAGATGGAGACAGTAGAGAAATTTGTGGCCCGATTAGCGCGCGGTATGTTCGACCGCGCAGATAACGGGCCACACGAACACCTTCAGAACCTAGCACCTTTACATGCTCGGCCTCCGGACGGGCGACCTCTGCCAAGAGAACTCCTCTCTATAGAGATTAGAGAGTCGAGTAACAACCCTCAATGTCGCAGACAGGCCAACCAAGACGCCGGGCCGCATTAGCCGCCCGGCCACTTTAACCGGACAAGACAAGAACACCTTAAACCGAACAAGGCGTCTTTTTCAGGCTAGGCCGAATTAGGCGCCTTTCAGGAAAACAGACCTTACTATACCACTTTTTCAGGAGCGGGCCATATTACCCGACTCCTGAAAAAATTATTTCATGAAGATGAAGATTTACCAATCTGATTACAGCGACCGGGGAATCAAACCCGAGTCGCTGTTTCATACCTACAACGCCGTAACGGCTCCCACGACCGGTGCATAGTAATGCACCGCGAGGAGATCCCGGGCAAAGGGGGCGTGCCCCGAGGCCCGATACCTGCTGTGTGCATAGCACACACGCAGACGATTACGTAGTGTCGCCACCTGTGTATTATCCTACGTAATATCAATTTGTGTACGATATATAACAACAATTTTTCAGTGCGTGCGTTACGTTGCATTGTTCAGACTAATGTCGTGAACAATGCAACGTAACGCACGCGCTGTTAGCTCAGTCTAAATTAAAAATAAAGTTGTCGGAAAATAAGAGTTAAATTAGCTAAAAGAAAGTGTTTAAAGTTAAGCCTTGGATTTTAAATATTTAGTGCAATAAAATAGTGAAGTTATAAATCATAACAATTATAGATATTGTGCGAAAATATTTTCTCCAAGAATTTAATAAGTGTTGTCTAGCTGTGTTGACATGAACGCGAAAGCGCCTTCAAATGCACGGCGCTTAAGACCTTTTTTGCGCGACCATAGCAGCTGTATATTGCAAAGCGCGTTGGATGGGCTGAGAAGTAAGCGAATATACCCACTATTAAATTTATATTGAATACAAATTAAACAAGTATATCCGATTAATTTTCAACATTGAAAGTTATATAATTATAACTTTTATGTACAAGTAAACATGTCTTGCAATTCATGTAATACGACCCTACTTCAAAAAGATAAGATTAAATGCACAGCCTGTCCGGCATTGTTTCACTATCAATGCGTTGGTTTTACCAGTACGTCTTTTAAGAAGACATCCCTAAGCGTGAAGTCATTTAAATGTTCATTTTGCCAGAGCCGTAACCAAACTGAAAGCTTGATGGCCTCTCCAAATACAAAAAATGATGAAATATATTCTTCTCCTACACAAACGCAGACACCTGTAAATCATACCATAATATCCTTGATACGTGACGAAATAAGTAATATATTAGAGAATTCTGTGAGCCCAGACCTCAAAGCTATTAGGCTGGAAGTAAGTGGAATACAGGAAATTAAAAATAAAATGGATATATTACAATCTATGTACGATAAGCAACAAAAAAAATTAGAAGAAGCAATGCAGGAAATATCGTCCCTTAAAAATGAAAATTCTAAGCTTCGCCAAAATCAAATAAATATAAATTCCAGATTGACTATTATGGAAAAAGAAACAAGAGCAAATAATTTAGAATTTCATTGCATACCTGAATACCGTGGTGAAAACTTAGTCAACACTTTACATCAAATAGGAAAAACTATAGGTAGCTATGTGGAAGATGGTCATATTGTTAAATGCACCCGGATTGCGAAGTGGAATAAGGAGAACAATCGTCCACGAACTGTTTTGGCGAAGTTCGCAACACCCCTATTGAGAGATAAATTCTTAGCTAATATAATAAATTATAATAAAAGCCATCCGTCTGATAAGCTGAACTCTTCACATTTGGGAATAGCAGGTGAAAAAATGCCCGTCTTCGTATGTGAACATCTTACCCCGGAAGCCAAGGCATTACACGCAGCTGCTCGTCGATTTGCCAAAGAGAAATCATATCAATTCGTCTGGTCGCGGAATGGTAACATCTACTTAAGAAAAGCGCCGTCCAGTGATGTAATACTTGTTAAGAATTTAGAGTTCCTTAACGAAATTTCTTAAAACCATACCATTTATTAAATTTTTTTTTTTTTCATTTTTTTGTTTAAAAATTTAATATATATAATATATTTTTTAACTCAGTTACACTTTCGTTTAGTTGATGAACTGTATAAGCGTCTTTTATCAAAACATTAGAGGTCTTAAAACCAAAACTCATGAGGTATATAGTGCTATTTTAAATTCGGAATTTGACATTATTGTGTTAACTGAAACTTGGTTATGTGAAGGTATATTAAATAACGAAATTATAGATAAACGATACGTGGTTTTTCGACGAGACAGAGAAACTTCTACTTTGCGTACCAAACATGACGGTGGTGGCGTACTTATTGCAGTTACAAAAAAGCTTAAAAGTTATAGAGTTATGAAATGGGAAAGCAACTACGAGGATATGTGGATTAACATTGATTTTAAAGCAGGTAACCCAGATTTTACTCTATCGATTTGCGGTGTTTACTTGCCGTCACCATTAAATTATGAGTGTCTTAAAAGCTTTTGCGATAATGTTTCCTGTGTATCAGTTGAGCAAACTAATACAATATTAATAGGAGATTTTAATTTATCAAATATAATGTGGACTAAACAAACTAGTCAAAAATATCTTATTCCTGTTAGTAATAGTGGCAAGATGAACGAATATTTTATAGATTTCATAGCTGAAAATCGTCTTTACCAGTTTAATCAAGTCCGAAATCCTTTTAACAAAATTCTTGACCTAATATTAAGTAATAAAGAAAGTACATTTATAATCAACGAAGTGAAAGAAAGCCCTTATCCCTTGAGCCATATAGACAGACATCACCCACCCCTAGAAATCAGTATAAATTTTACTCCAGTTTCACACCTAGAAACAAACATAAACGAAAGAATGAATTTTTATAATGCAGATTACAGTGTTATTATCGAGGAGATAGAAAAAATATCTTGGAATGAAATTTTTATTACATGTGGTGATGTTGATGAAATGCTAAAAGTCTTTTATTGTAAGCTCCACGAGATTATAGGTCGGCATATTAGGAAATATAAGAAAGGAAATAGTAAATACCCGCATTGGTTTTCAAAAGACTTAATAAAAAGATTAAAAGAAAAAAATAAATACAGAAACTTATATAATAAGTATAAAAACCCTCTTGATGAAATATCGTTTAAATTACTGCGTAAAAGATGTGAAACCCTAATACACTCATGCTATAAAAATCACATTAAAAATGTAGAAGAAAATATAATTAGTAATCCAAAATATTTTTGGTCATATTTAAAAGAGATTAGAAATAACAAAAGTGAATATCCTTCTTATATGACATTAAATGCACAAAAATTTTCCAATGGTACAGATATATGTAATAGCTTCGCAAAACATTTTTCAAGTATATACACAGATTATCCTGTAGGCAAAAAAAATGAGATTCCTAACATTGAATGCGTTGATATTAATCAAACTTTATCTCATATACATATAAGTGTAGAGGAAGTAGAATCAAAGCTTAAGAAACTTGACAGCAATAAAAGCGCTGGTCCCGACAATATACCGCCATTCTTTGCTAAGAAATGTGCAGCAGCCCTAGCGCGCCCTTTAAGTATCATATATAATGTTTCCTTGAAAGAGGGTTTTTTTCCAAGCGCTTGGAAGGAGGCTAGAGTTGTGCCTGTTTTTAAAAGCGGAGATAGGACCGATATAACAAAATACAGGCCCATATCAATACTATCCGTGTTCCCAAAGGTATTTGAGGCTATTATCTGTCCAATTATAAATTGGCACATGAAATCAATACTAACGGATAGGCAGCATGGATTTTTGAGAGGAAGGTCCACTACGTCAAATCTTTGTGAATATATTGATAATTTATGTGTGTCTGTGGACAATAACCTTCAAGTTGATGCAATTTATACAGACTTCTCTAAAGCGTTTGACGTAGTGAATCATTCCATACTAATAAAAAAGCTTGAATGTTATGGATTCCACAGCTCCTTTTTAAAATGGTTGTTTTCTTACTTACACAACAGAAAGCTAAAGGTTGTAATAAATGGATTTCAATCTGAGGCATTTATAGCATATTCAGGTGTGCCACAGGGCTCACACTTGGGGCCAACCCTATTCAACATTTTTATAAATGATGTAGTAAATTGTTTCCAGAACAGTGATGTACTTCTCTTTGCAGATGATTTAAAATTGTATAAAGAAATAAAAACCGCTAATGATGGAAACTTACTACAAAATGATATTAATAGGCTAGTCTCCTGGTGCGAGCTTAATAATGTAATCCTTAATCGTGAAAAATGTTACCAAATATCTTTTAATAAAAAAATCCACCCTATTTATAATGAATACAATATTAATGATAATGTCATAAAAAAGACAAATGTTGTTCGTGATTTAGGTATATTAATTGATTGTAAATTAAGTTTCACTACGCATATGGATCAAGTTATAAAAAAATCATTGAAATTTTTAGGATTAATTAAACGGGTAACTAAAACTTTAAAAAATAAAAAAACCAAAATAATTCTTTTTAACTCATTTATTCTTAGTAATCTTGAATATTGTTCTTCTGCCTGGAATCCATATTATCAAACACATATAAATAGGATAGAACGAGTGCAAAAGAAATTCCTTAAGTACCTTTTTTTCAATAATAATAAAATACACAGGCAATTAACATACACTGAAAGACTACATAATTGTAATATGATTTCATTAAATGATCGAAGAGCGCTTATGGACATGTGCTTGTTACACAAAATCGTTAACAATAAAATTAACTCAAACAATATTTTAGGTAAAATATCATATGTTGTTCCTAGACCTAATTCTAGAATAAGAAATTATAGTTTATTCAAAACTAGGTATTGTAGAACAAATGTCGGATTATCAGCTCCAATTAATAGAACCTTAAAAACTTATAATGTAATTTCTAAATTGGTCTACCTTGACATATTCAACGATTCTTATACCACTTTTAAAAATAAAATTAAAAAACATTTTTATAACAAAATTAAGAACACCTCATGAGTTATTGTAAAAAAAAAACCCTTTTTTTTTGTTTCATGCATTAAAATATGTTATTTTGTTATCTTTTCTTCTTCTTTTTTCAACAATAATGTGCGTTACTTATTATTTTACTTTAACATGTTAAGTTAGCCTATAAGTATGATATGTACTAAACTTAAGATTAATCAATAAAATTTGCAAACATTTTTTCATTGTACAATATCATGTTGGCTTCCTAAATAAATAAAAAAAAAAAAAAAAAAATTTACAATTTTCCTTTGTTATTATCATCTATCGCGAGTTGTGTGAGTCAGTGTTTGTAGTTCGTTTGTGATCTAATACTACTACTACTACGAAGTAATGGCAGATACAGCAGTAGCTTCCGAAACTCCCGCTCCGGCGACTCCGGCGAAAAAACCGAAGGCCGCCGCTACTGCAGCAGGTGGTGCAAAGAAGCCCAAGGCGAAACCCACTCATCCGAAGACTTCCGAAATGGTCACCAGCGCAATTAAAGAGCTGAAAGAGCGCAGTGGATCATCTTTGCAAGCGATAAAAAAATATATTGCCGCTCAATATAAAGTCGACGCTGAAAAACTAGCTCCGTTCATCAGAAAGTACCTGAAGAGTGCAGTCGAATCGGGTGCGCTTATACAGACAAAGGGCAAGGGGGCTTCCGGTTCCTTTAAGCTTGAATCAAAATCGTCCGCCTCTAAGAAACCGTCGACGGGTAAGAGCAGCGGTGGCGCAAAGAGCGGCGCGTCCGCCGCTAGCTCGGTGTCGGCGAAGGTGAAGAAGAGCACCGCCGCGGGTAAGGGTAAAAAGGCAGCATCGGCAGCGACCGCATCATCACCGTCTAAGGCAAAACCGTCTGCAGCTACCAAGGACAAGAAGGCGGCCGCCGCGAAAAAGAAGCCGGCAGCCGCAAGAAAATCCGCAACCGCTGGCCAAAGCGGCGTTTCTAAGGCGAAAGGCGCCGCTTCGAAGGCGAAAAAGAGCGCCAAACCACCGACAAAGAAACCTAAGGCTCCAAAACCGAAGAAGGCGGCAACACCCAAATCGAAGCCTTCCGCGGCGGCATCGAAGAAGGCAGCCGCTTCTAAAAAGTAAGGTCCGCTGTCACCGCCTTCCGTCGTCATAACCACCGCCGCCGTACCTACCTACGTACGTACTCGTACGCGTAATTGTCACGCGCGTATGTGATTGTGTAGTGCATGCAGGCTGATGCTGCTGAGAGACAGGTAGGTAGGTAGGTAGGTAGGTAGGTAGGTAGGAAGGAAGGCAAGCAGGCAGGCAGAGTGACAGCAAGACGGGACGGACGGGACGGGAGAAGGATCCTCGCGGGTGAACGCGAGTGCCTCGTAGCGCCGCGGCATCGGGCCTATTTATTTTTATTTTATTCTTAAAAATAATACCTATAAAATAAATGGTGTACGCGTGTCGCGTCGTATACGAATATGCGCGAGCGACCGCAATGCTAAAAAGCCCTTTTCAGGGCTAACAAAAATTTCCTATGAGTTTCTTATACGTCACGCGTCAATCATAATGATTGCCTTATTATATATATTACCTACCTATATTATATATATCGCACCGTCCCTCACTTCAATCAAATCAGTCAGTCAGGCAGTTCTATATAATATAATATAAAATATTATGTAATTATGTAAACATTGCAACGAAATAACGAACGCACAACTTATGAACGCACGATAACGATTTAACTAAGTAGGTATATAAATTCGAATAAGCTAAATACACGTATATTAAAACAATAAACGTAGATGCGTCGTAAATGCGTTACAACAATTTACGAAACACTAAATACCTCTATATATATATACACACCACCTACTCAACGAATTCAACGTACTACGTTCACACTTTTAAAAAAATTTTAATAGGTGCCTAGGTAAAATAGATAACACAACCGAATCGAATCGAATCGAACGGAACCGACCGACCGACCGACCGACCGACCGACCGACCGACCGACCGACGCGACGCGACGCGACGCGACGCGACGCGACGAGACGAGACGAGACGAGACGCGACGAGACGAGACGAGACGAGACGAGACGAGACGAGACGAGACGAGACGAGACGAGACGAGACGAGACGAGACGAGACGAGACGAGACGAGACGAGACGAGACCCTACACGAACGTAACACGTATAATATTATGTACCTATATAAATAATATTATCACTTTCACACTCCCTAATTTTCTTGTTACAGTTTTTCGTTTTTCTTCCTCTTCGACGACGATATATTATACTATTCTATTCTAACGCGTTATATCCTATTGCTGCTACCTAGTATTCTTCTTTTTTTCTTCTTTACAAGTACATTCGTTTCGCCCTCGCCCGACTGCCCGACTCCCGACTCCCAACTCTGACTTGAGATTTTCCAACTAACTAAAAGTCTGACCGGACCGACCGCGCAAACGTGTTGCGTTCGCGATCGATCCCCACCCCACCTAGTGGCGAATCGATGCTTGCTATATAAAGGAACGCCGCGAGTTTAAAAAAATTAGAGATTAGAGGAGTGAGTTTCGGTTGTCTGCGCTCAAGCCGCGCGGACGTATTCTTCGGTCGAGCCCATGCGCTCCCGAATTACTAAGTTGCAATTGTGCGAAAAAAAAGACAATAAAAGGATTAAGTGCTCGAAGTGCTTCAGTGGTGTTGTGCGTCATTGCCGCCGTCAGGTTGCATCGGCCCGCCGGCCCATTGTTCTATTGTGTTAGGGATTAGTGTAGTGCCCCACGCTCTGCCAATTTCCAGTAAAAACTGTAAGTAGTTTATTACACACCGCCGTGCCGCCTCAGAGGCGGCTATTATATTGTTATTGTATTAATCTCTGTGTTCGCTTGTCGCATTAGGCGACAGCTAGGTACACACCCTAACGTACCAACGCGTTAGGTATATAGGTGTTCGTTTAAGCACACACCTCCCCCGCCGTGAGGTGGGGGAGCTTGGTACACAAGTGTTTTCTTAAAAACAAGACAAGATGGCGGCTATAACCATAGCCGAACTCGCCGACTTTTTCAGTCGTGCGTGCCCCGACGTTTGGGCGACCTTT